AAATTGATGGTGAGAGAGGTGGACACCTTGGGTCCTTGATGAGTGAAAGGAAACAAGCAAACCAAAAGGTCTGATCTTTCACAATACATCTTGAGCCTCTCAAGGTCTTTCAGCAAAAAACACATCATCAGAAACAATGCACTTCCATGAAATCAACCACATAATGCTTCTAATGCTGGAGAACAACCGTGGATATGGTTTTACGTTTCAAGGGACCAACAATGAGTTACAACAATTTGTTCACAACATCTGATGTGCAAAAACAAGATAAACTTAATACTAGAGTTGCAAAGGAATCCATAAACATTCCAGTTGTATTGAAGTGTTTTTAATCATGATAGAAAGTTAGTTCAAATGAATGAAGATTTTTGTTGGTGACATAGCAGGATTATGTATCTGAAAGCTTCACTGGATGCTACCCATTGAAATGATGCAAGGGTAAATTCAGAATGTCTGTATAATGTATCATGAATCACTAAAGGTGGAGAGCGACTCGAATCTGCTAGTCGGATGGCAAAGGCCAAGACCAATTCAAATATCCAGAGCTTTTCAATGCATCTTGTACTGAAGCCTGAGCTGATGAGATACTTGAAGCGTCCTTTGGGTTCTGGATTTCTCCAAGAACCTCAAAGGCCGCTTTGACTTTGTCAACAGACGAGAATCCGATCACGGTGTGGGGGAAGTACATGGAGTAGAGAAGGGAGATGCGTTCGATGGACAGATGATGGGTCGTCTGAATAGATTTGACGACCTCCTTGATCACTTGGCAGAGAGCTTGGGGAGCTGGCTGCCAATCCGGAGGGCCTTGGGTGGTCAGTAAAACATTACCAAGTGGCGAGGCTGAGATGATTTGAACAAACCCAGCAGCTTGGAAGTAAGGAAGATAGCTGCTGAGAGCACTTTTTTGGAGAGTTAGACCCACATATGACATGGCTAGATCCAACGGACATCCCCGTTGCGTAACGATCAGGTGTGACATTTGCAATAACGTTCCAAGTGGGAACAGTTGTTGAGACCACGTTGGAGCTATCGGATCGAGTTGATATTTTTTGGTTCAATGGGCAAGGATAAATCGAGATAGGAGTTCAAGTTTCAACGAGATTGAATGAATAAAAAAAGGGGCTTGGAAAAACGACTCCTAAAAATTAGTCGACGACTCCCGTTTTGGTCGGGAGGTCGTCAAACGGGAGTCGTTCTTCCAATTCCCCCAAAAAAAAGGGGAGTTGTCGTCCTAATTTCAATGGCAATTTTTTAATTTTTTTTATTAAAAAAATGGGATTCGCCCGCCTAAAGGGCGGGAGTCGTCGTACCAATTTAGCCAAATATTTTTTATTTTTTTTTTTCATTAAAAAAATTGGGAGTCGTCCGCCTAAAGGGCCGGAGTCGGCGCCCAAATTTATCCAACTAATCTAATTTTTTTTATTAAAAAAAAAAGGGAGTCGTCCGCCTAAAGGGCGGGAGTCGGCGCACCAATTACAACCAATATTTTAACCTTTTTTCTGCATTAAAAAAACGGGAGTCGTCCAACTCAAAACAGGAGTCGTCAACCTCTAGCGACCCTAAAAACTCAAAAAAAAGCTCAGCCACTGGGGCCCAGCCCACAAAGGCACTTTATGAATGATTAAAAATTGGATTCATGAG